GAGTATTGCAGGTGCGTGGTGGTGGAATGCGGTGCTGCTGGATGCAGTGCATTAACGGGTGATACACTGTGGTGATGGTTCAGCCTGATCCTTTTTTCTTTTTTTCAAGCCCCAATCACCCGTCCCAATCCATCCCATTCCAATTTCCTTCTTATGACCTTTTTGTTATGTTCCATGTGTGCTGTTAGCGGTAGTTAGTTTATTTGTTTGTTTTTTTGTGTGTGTGTGTGTGTGTGTGTGTGTGTGTGTGTGTGTGTGTGTGGGTGCGTGCACGTGTGTGTGTGTGTGTGTGTGTGTGTGTGTGTGTGAGTGCGTGCGCGCGCGTGAGTGTGTGTGTGTGTGTGTGTGCGTGTGCGTGTGTGAGTTTTCATTATTAAATTCTATTCCTTACTACGTATTTTCTCTGCTATTTTTTCCCTTCCCTCTTCTCTACTGCCTGCCCACAGGGAGATCTCAGAGGCAGGGCTCATCCCCCTGGTGCAGTCATGCCATATCCTGCAGCACATTTGCTTCTCTGGCTTCCGTGCCACCCACCTTTCAGACCTCCTCATTCACACCATCGCCTTGCAGTGCCAACTACTCTCCACTCTCTCCCTCCGCGCCTGTAACGGGGTTACCACACACGGCGTCACACATGTGTTACATGGCTGCGAGCAAATTGCAAGGTGCCACCTGGCACGGTGCCCGAATGTGGATGAGGAGAGTGTGGTTCGGGTGGCAAGGGTGGTTGGGGAGGTTAGGGCAAAAAGTACAGGAGGGAATCCACACTATGTAGGAATGCCTGTGATTGAGGTGTCGTGGTCTGAATAAAGAATTCTGAAGTATCAAGTCAGGCCTAAATATTGGGGAGTTGTGTTTTTGTAGAGGGATTGATACCCAGAGGAAGATTTTGTATAGTTTTTGCTGTCGTGTACTGGAATATTCAGACTCACCTAGCATTTTAGCTACAATCATTGGAGCATTATAGCGAGATTTCCCCTTCATCCCAGCCTTCCTTCCAGCCAGCCAGCGAAATTGTTGTTGCCCCACCACACACTTCCGGCTCTCCGCCTTCCCCTTGACCTCCGCTTCCGACAGCGCCTCCTGCATTCATCCCACTGTCAACAGATCCTGCCTCTGCATGCCCTCTCACCGCACCGCAACGAACTGCAATGCTCTTTTGTTTCCCCTCAATCATACTCTCCTAACTGTGCTTTCCCCCGTGCTTCCCCTGTTCTGCCCAAGCTCCAACACCACACCACCCTTGCTTTCGTGCGCCCTATGATGGGTGCTCAACTGGTGTCGCTAGGGTGCGAATAATCAGCTTCACAGGCTGAGTCACAACACATCATAGTTGTGAATTTGGCTGTCCCTGCTACGGCATTGGTTTAGGTGGTTACCTTTTTGTAGTTGGGTGAAAACCTGGTCCTTCATCGTAGACGTGCTGAAATTTCAGAAGTCGCTGACCCTGTCCATCGTTCAAGAGCATTGTCACCTATTGGAGTCCTCATATTTGACTATTTCTCGCTGCCGTTTCCACAACTTATTGCTTGCGAAGTCGAGCTATTCCGTTCGGTACACGCTTCTCGAGCGCATCGTCAGAATGTCGTCCGCGCCTTTCTACGCCGTCCCCGTTAACAGCGCAGAATCCGATGGAATCTTCTCAGGAGGGCCCTCCTCCCTCTCCGCGCCGCTCGAGATCCGACCGACTCTGGTGGCAGCGATTCAAGGCCATAGATTGGCTGGATTGGTTTTCCGCCATCGGCATGCTCTTTCTCATGTACGGACTTTTCCTAAGTTACTTCTACGGCTTGCTAGCAGCCGCTGAAGCCATACGAGGAGAGAACTTTCGAGTCCTCCCACAAAAGTACTATGGAGCGTTCCAGTATGGCACGGACATTCCGCAAGGGTATTCCACGTATCCAGTGGGGTTTCCTGTTCCTTGGAATGCTACGCTGTTTTAGGAGTGCCAGACAGACATCCTTCCTTTCTTGCCGGCGCTGGCGCTGCAGGCTTTTCCTACCGTATTTTTCCGTTGTATTGTATTATTGTATGCTGGAATAACCGAAATTGAGCTGGATATGTTGAAATCTTGATGGGAAATGTGCTTTGAGATGTAGTTCTTGCAACATTGACATTGACTAGGTAATTGAATATAGTTGCTGACTACATGTCCTACAGTACGTCCTGAGACACTTAGAACAATGAGAGACAGGCAATCTACGCCAAGAACCTACATGTACAAGACAAAACAGCCATCACCACCACATCCCAAGTGGCAGCTCAACAAAAATGATGACAAAAACGTCCCCTGAATGGTGCCGCACACTCCTGCCCTTCCAACTTGAGCCCTCACCAGCGCAGCAGATCATTCTCCGTCTTCCTCAGTCAGACCCCAGAGAAAGACTCCCAGCAAGACATGCATACCGGGGATGCTCAATCGAGCTCTGTGTTATTCAAAGAACCCTGTTTTGCGAAGAACCTCCGCCCGGACGTGAGCCAAGTCCCTCCCGCGAAGAGCCCGGCCAACCCCTCTGTCACCGAGAAATTGACACTCTGAGCGTACTGCCTCGCCACGATTTCGTGCGGAGGAATAACCTCATCCTCCTCCTGCTGCTCTTCCCTCTCAACCCCATTCTTCTTGGTCCTGCAGCAGCGAGTTGTCGCGGAGCGGAAGACTTCCCCCAACAAGGAATATGTATGGGAGCGGATGCTCTTGTCATTGGTCGGATTGCGTTATGAGGACTTGGTACCGGTTTCGGAATAAGAACGGAGGAAGTCGGTAGAGCGCCTGAAGAGCCTTTGATAATATCACCCCCGATGTTAGGGACCCTGATGCTATCACCCGAGTTAGGCTCCACGAGCGTGGGAACAAGAGACAGGCCGAGCGGTTTACTCGACGAGCCATCGCGTGAGTTTAAAATCGCGGAAACGGCATCTGTTGGACCCCGCGTGACGGTTCTACCAGAAAGCGGAACGAGAGGTTCCCTGGTGGAGGGAACGAAACTTCGACCGATAGATTCAACGGCCAGTGGACGTGCGGCGTCAGCCTGGGTGGTCCGAACTGCTGGGGAGTTGTCAACATCGCCAGGAAACCAGACGTCCTCCTCCGTCAGATCATCCACGTCATCACGATCCTCTATGGAAGTCGGAACGGAAGATCCGAGCAGATCGATACCGTGTGCGCCTCCAAGGCAAAGCGGTGGCTCTGCTGCTGACGTCATCGCTGACGCGGAGCCGTGAGAAAAGGAGGGGGTTGACGTGAACATAGAGTAACGAAACAGGCTAACAGGTAACACAGAACTCCAGTGGGAGACCTTGGGCGGGCTTATTTCGGCAAATCAAGGGTTGAATACCGGAAATCCGAAACCAGCGCCCTTCGCGTCTCAGCCTAGGTCAAGGCTGAAAGCCCAAGACGAAAAGAGACTCCTATCCTGCAGTTCTGGAACAAAATCATCAAATCTTGCTCTCTGGAGTTCTTTGTGGATGAGCAGGATGAGTTGAGTTTGCTGCTCGTGACTGTGGCACTCGGAGCTGATGGCTCTTGGCAGGGAGACGAGAGGGTTCTTGGCAGAACTCTGGAAGTTCCGGATTCAAAAAGCTCAGGGGAGGCCTGGGAGGCATGGAATCTTACACGCCAAACGTTCTAGGGTGTCCCTGCTTGCGCCCTCCAACTTGGCAAGAACTGCGGGTGGCTACAGTGATGGGACACGAATGGTTGCGAGTGACGACGAGTCAGTGATTTCTGTTGGGTGCTGGCTTGGATGTGAGAAGTCTGGGTAAAATGACATGAAAATGACTTTTGTAGTGCGAAAAGTAAAGTTTGAACGCGCGTTTAAATCTGAGACGGAAAAAACACTCTGGTGGAGCAGCAGCGACAAGATCAAGCGAATCCATGGCAAAGGTGGGTGCCAACTATGCGCTGAAATGCGACCAATCAAAAGCAGCAGGTTGGGGGCAGAACAAGCACATTTGCGTCTCGCTATTATCTGAACCTTGACACCATTCGGTATAGCGGCAGATCAAGTGTGAATTTTACAATTGCTTGTTTATGTACCTGGATGCACAAGTGCGAGTACAGAGTCACACTCTATAAACGCAGTGTGAGCCTCGGACATGTCAGCTGGTCATGTGGCCTTGCTGGCAAGCTTTCCTGATTGGTTCGACTAGCTTTGGAGTTGTCCTTTTGTCACAGTCCTATGATAATGTCCCTCCACCTTCGTCATGTCATCCTCATTTCTCTGTTTCACTCGCCTGTTATCACCTCCTTTAGTGTCACGATCGGTTTCTGCTCCTCGGGCTGTGCCTGCTAGGCCGCAAAGCTTGGATTTTCATTTTGCCAGCAGAAATCGTCCGAATCACCGAGTTTAGCTTCGTTTCAGAGCAAACTCCTGAATTTACAAACCGCTTACTTCAGACGTTTCCTCGAACTGAATCGTTTGTGACCGATTAGGGACGCGATTAACTGTCAGTGCCAATATATCGCGTAGCCACGGTTTTTGGTGTCAGAAATTGCTCCCTGTAACCCGCACAAACATGGGTTGGACGGACGCTGTCAGTGACAGGATGTCTCGACTACTCGCGACGGCCAGCAGGCGAGGCAAATGTGAATCCCCGCCGGAAGAGGTTCAACGGGGAGGATTTCCGCAAAGGTCAGCTGTGACGTTAAATGGAAACATTTCTCATCATTGTCGTTGCGACTAGCTTTAAGTTTTATCTTCAGTGGTTATCAAGCACGTTGTGATTTTTTAATCCAATCGACATTGAAGGACAGCTTGCAGCTTACTGATTGCTACTGCTACCTTTGCTCGGCCCATTTCCTGTTACAGGTGGGTCAACTGAGCCAGCTTGAAATCGTATATGTTTTCTCCCATTCCCTGTTACCGTGCTTCTCGTCCCAACTCCTATTACCTCTCCTCCCGTTCTCTCTTCCAGCGTGTCAATTCGAACCTGTAATGTACGACGAGTCCGTGGACAATTGAGGTGACTTTTGAGTGACTCAAAATTCCTCCCATCTCCTATTACCTCTCCTCCCGTTCTCTCTTCCAGGCGCGGCAATCCGAACCTGTAATGTACGACGAGTCCGTGGACAATGCCAGCAGCTTCGCAGCAACTTCCTTCAGCACCACCACCACCTCCACCACCATGAGACGAGGCGCAGCCGGCGGCTCAGCCGCCAAGTCAGGCACGAGCGGCACCACTGTAAACACCGCCAGCACCACTAATACTACCACTTCCACCGCCACGATTAACACCAGTGCCATAGATAGTACCGCCAGTCGCTCGGGCGCGTTAAACGATTCCGATGCTGGCGTTTCGGCGTTCACACGCGCAGACTTAGAACCTGACGACGTCCCACGAGGAGCATTAGGAGGCAGTGGAGCCGAACCAGGAACTGGTTCAGGCTCGGGGGTACCAGCAGGGTTAGGCGAAGGCTCGGGGTTAGGAACGCCCGGGAGACGAACCCCTGTGAAACCTGCAGCGGGGGAAGGTTTAGCGGGGAGCTACGGTGACGATTCCGCGCAGATCGCTGCAGCGACAGCAGCAGCAGTGGCAAGCTGCTGCTGAGTCCGGGTTGGGTGGAGTGGTAGGACGGAAGCCTCCCCGCGTGCCGTCGACACTAGGCCGTGGATGAGGAATTCGAAGGGCCGGACACGTCTTCCCTCGCCGCGTTTCTGCTGTCGCTGATAAGTATCAATCCGCGCGGGAACAAGGGCGAGCTCTGACACGTGTTCGGAATCAGGCGGGTCTTATGTGGACTCGGATTTCGAGGAGGAGTATGAGGAGGTTGGGGAGGAGGATATTGGGGTGGTGGACGGTGAGGGGAAGGGAGGAGTGGTACCAAGCGGTTTGGGAGCAGGGCAGGATGGGAGGGTGAGAAGAAGGGACGAGGTGGGTTAGGAGGGGAGTTTGGTGGAGAGGAGGGAGGGGAGGGACAGGAGGAGGGTTTGAAGAAATGGGATACTGGGAGAATGGGAGAGTGAGAGGGGGTGGTGCTGGTGGGGGTGGGAATGGCGGAGGGAGTGGGGGAGGGGCAAAGCGGGGCTGGTTACCCCCGTTTATATCACGCTTTGCAGCTGGACCAAGGGGTGCTCGATCCCGGGAATCCTCACCGTCAGTCACCCCGTCCTCCTCCTCCTCGTCGCTCTCTCGGCTGATGCTGGATGCGGTGACGTGGCGCTGACGTCAGCGTCCAGGCTGGAGGCGCGAGAGAACAACAACGGGGCGAATCAAGGGGGCGTGGCGACGTCAGCATCCGCTGCTGTGTCGTCATCATCATCAGTAACGCTCGTGTCAGCAGCAGGCGCAGTTTCAGGAGCAGTGTCAGTATCAGCAGCAGTATCCGGAGCAAGTCTCTCCGGAGCGAGTTTAGCCGGAGCAGACGAGCAGCTTCACCAGCGGATGTCCGAACCTGTCACGTCAGCCAGTTGCTCCCAAGCCCTCACCTCCCGAGCCTCCGAGCCTGCAAGGGAAACCACTGGAAGAGAAGGATGCTCTCCACCAATCCTGCTGGTGGGAGAGGGGGAATCGTATCTCCCAATGCCGGGGTGCGGAAGGGGGGGATATTATCTCCGAATTCCTTGGAAGCTTCGCCTTTGATGAGCCCCAGGCTGCCAGATATGATGGAGGAGTCGTTCCTGCTGTCCGACACGTGTCGCTCCGTGATTTGCCAGAGCCTGCCTGCGATTGCCAGTGGACGCGAGTGGGTTCTCCTGTACAGGTGGGCTGAAGAAGCACAAATGCGCGCGAATGAAGTGAGGGGTGCAGGACGAACATAAAATGATTGTATACTGCTGCGTCCCCTCCTCTCCTCCTGTCCCTATTTCCCCTTTCCCCTCCCACCTCCCCACCCCCTTCCCCACCGCTTCCCCACTCCCCCCTCCCTCCGCTTTTGCTCTTTTTTTGCTTCACGGACCCTCCTCCTGGGCTTTGGTTTCTCATCGCGTCAACATAATTGCTCTCTCAGAAGCAGCTTTGAATATCCTCCCCTGTAGTTGTGCTAAACCATCCCCCGCCTGCCCCATCCCCGCCTGCCCCATCCCCGCCTGCCCCATCCCCGCCTGCCCCATCCCCGCCTGCCCCATACCCGTTCTGCCCCATACCCGTCTGCCCCATCCCCGTCTGCCCCATCCCCGTCTGCCCCATCCCCGTCTGCCCCATCCCCCCCCTGCCCCATCCCCGCCTGCCCCATCCCCGCCTGCCCCATCCCCTGCCCTTGCCCCATCCCCGTCTGCCCCATCCCCGTCCTGCCCCATCCCCGTCTGCCCCATCCCCCGTCTGCCCCATCCCCGCCTGCCCCATCCCCGCCTGCCCCATCCCCGCCTGCCCCATCCCCGCCTGCCCCATCCCCGCCTGCCCCATACCCGTCTGCCCCATCCCCGTCTGCCCCATCCCCCGTCTGCCCATCCCCGTCTGCCCCATCCCCGCCTGCCCCATCCCCCGCCTGCCCATCCCCGCCTGCCCCATCCCGCCCTGCCCCATCCCCGTCTGCCCCATCCCGTCTGCCCCATCCCGTCTGCCCCATCCCCGTCTGCCCCATCCCGTCTGCCCATCCCCGCCTGCCCCATCCCCTAGCTTGCCTCATCCCCTCCTGCCTCATCCCGTTCCACCACTTCTTACCTCATTCTTCACCCGCTCTTGTCGCCCCTATCCCTCTTCCCCCCCCCCTCCTCCCCATCCACCCATACCACACCACCACTCCCCACCCCGTTTGATCTCTCACCACCCCAGCACATTCAAGCACGGCATCTCTCTATCGACCCTTTACCGCCGCAGCTCCATGATGCCCGGCCCCTGCCTGCTGGTTGAGAGCATGTCCATGCAGCTGTTGATATCATGTATCCATCCATTCATGCGAGACATCTTGCTTCTGACTCTCTACCCGCCGCAGCTCCATGATGCCAGGCCCCTGCCTTGTGGTGAGAACTCATGTATACCAACGAGCTTAAAAATTGGCGCTTGGAATATCCACCACTGATCCCCGCGACTGTGTTTTTCATTTGTTCCCTTTCCATCCATGCCATGTACCCTGTCCTGTCTTTCCCTGGTGATCACAAGAAGCACGACGGTATCGAAGCACTGAAATCACGAACGCCCTTTTGTTCGGCTCACAAACCCCTCTAGCACTGTGCCCAAATCCCTCACCACTTTCCCCCTTTCCTCATCTACACCCCCCCTCCTCCCGCTTCCGGGTAACTTTTGGTGTCGACTCAAAAGTCCCTTTGTTCGCCCCACAAACCCCTCTATGTATCTGTCTGTGCCCAGATCCCTCACCACATTTCCCCTTTCCTTCTCTCCGCCCCCACTCTTCCCGCTTCCAAACTCCTCTCCAGCTTCCTCCCCGCACCACCCCGCCGCCAGGTTTTGTCGGCTTCTCAAGGCTTGAGACGAGAGGTCTCAAAGCTCTCCTTCCCCTGTACCCACAGCTCCTCTCCCCCATCCCCCCCCCCCCCCTCCCCCGCGCACCACCCCGCCGCCAGGTGGTGACTGAGGATAACGGCACTGTTTTTGGCGGCTTCTCATCTCAAGCGCTTGTAGCTTCCAATCGCAGAAAATACCAGGTTTGTGGAGATTCTTCCATGAGCTTCGCTGGCAAATCAGCTGTTCACATCGCTTATCATCCCTTTCTGCTGCTTCTGATTGTAAGAATTGAGTGCCCAGGAGCAGCACAACAGCTGAACCCCGTCGGCAGCAGAGTCGCCCGTATTTCCATTCTTCCTTTTCTTGATTGACGCTCCGCTCTACTTTTCAAATCACCTTAATCTTTCAAGTTTCCATTGTTGCCTCTATCCCCGGCTGTCCTCTGCCTGTGCCAGGGATCCAGTGACGTCTTTGTGTTCACCACCATTACAGGGGACCCCACCGTCTACAAGGTTACAGGTAACAAGTGGGGAGGGTGGAAGAGTGATTTTTTTCAGAAGTTTTTAACCAGTATTACTCTCATGTGGTTTTGTATTTACCATCATTACGGGGCAGCGCATTCTTGATTCCTGAATATTTTATTGTTTGGTTTTCTTCTCTTGCACACACCTGTCAGGGGCAAACCGCTACTTCATTCTGTGTCTAAACGAAGCTCTCTCCTTTGGAGGTGGAGGCCACTTCGCCCTGTGCCTATTCTTGCTCACTACCCCATTCTTCATTCCTGCATTTGTATTTTTTATTTCCCCGCCTGGCTTCTTCCCTCACACCTGTCAGGGGCAAACCGTTACTTCATCCTGTGTCTAAATGAAGCTCTCTCCTTTGGAGGTGGAGGCCACTTCGCACTTTGCCTGCAGGAGGACCTGTGAGTAACCTCTTAACGAATCACTTTCTATTATGGATTGCAAGCGCTTCTGTTGTCATTAGTAGTGATTGTGTTGAGAGAGTAGTGATTGTGTTGATAGCGCCAGGTGCTTTTGCAGTGCTTGTCTTCTTTCCTTATAGAAATTCCTTTGTCCCCAGCCTGACAGGCTCCAGCGGTGGGTGTGAGACATTCTGCGGGCCGTGCCTCTCCAAGTCCGAGGATTCCAATATCGAGCAAGCCAGTTTCATTTCTTCAAGCTGTTCTTTTCCCCCTTGTCCCCCCCACACCACCCTTCCTTTCCCCAGTCTGACAGGCTCCAGCGGTGCGTGTGAGACATTCTGCAGTCCCTGTCTCTCCAAGTCTGAGGACTTCAAGATAAAGCATGTGGAGGTGAGGGTGAGGGGGAATGTGAGGTTGAGCTTTAGGTGGTGAGGGGAAGAGAGCATGTGGAAGTGAGAAGAGAAAGTGATTTGGAGAGCACCCGAGGGAAGCATGTGGGGTTGAGGGAGCATTTGGGGTGAGGGTGAAGAGAGTGTGTGGGGGTGAGGTGAGCATGTGATTTTTTTTAAGCGGCGCCTCGAAGGTGAGGTGAGCATTTCGGAAGTGCGGCGGGCATGTGAGGGCAAGAGAGACAAGGTGGCATGCGGCATCGTGGGTGAGTAGAGGCGTGCATGTGAAAGACGAAAGCCTCACATCGAGAAATGATAGTACAGGGAGCTGAGGGAGAATTATCTGTCAGATATGAAGGAAATGAGTGTATCTGACTGTCTGGCATCCATAATCTTCTCCCGTTGTCTTTCGTTCAATTTTCCGTTCGTGCCCACATCCTTCTGTAACCTTGCCACATGATATGCCTTTTCTTCTTTTCAGCTATGGGGATTCGCTCACCAGTCTCGATATGCACCAACAAAGGCCAACTGGCATGAACCATCGCAACCACATGGTTTTCATGCCAACTGGTAACTGTGCTGTTTACTTGAAGAAACCTTCACATTTTGGCACATGGATACTTGCCACAGTTTTGTCACTAACCTGGTCCTGTCTTGCATAATGCGCCTGCGTGTGGTGTTCTGCATGTATATTAAGTATATTACATCGTTCATTTAAGCATCCTTCAGTCTCATTTAAAAAAATGGTGAGAGAAAACAGTATTACCTAGCACCAATGAAACATAAGCTTGAAACTAATTAACAGCTCTGAAGTATATTTTCAGACGTCGTATACCGCTCGTATCGATTACACTAAAATGCTTCTCCACCCACAGTGCTTCACATTTCCGCTTTCTGACGTGGCTCACAGAACTATCCCATCGCCTGCATGCCTGAATGCGCAATGCAGAGCTAGTTTCTCGGTATGCGCCTGAATGCGCAATGCAGAGCTAGTTTCTCGGTATGCGCTGAATGCGCAATGCAGAGCTACTCGGATGGGATCGGCGACTCTCATGATGCTCCTGAATGATTGGGTTCCCGGGTATTCTCTAGGTTGCTCTCTGGAGCAGCGTCCTGAGAGGTCATGGAAACGCAGATTTGTTCAGAGAGCGACGCAAGCGTCATGCTGGAGAGCTTACCACCACGGCTGGATCTCTTAAAACGCGACACCTCATCGCAAGGGTCTCCTCTGCTACGTAATCCGACAGCTAATTTTGTCGCGACGTTAGGTTGGAAACTCGAGGAAACGAGCCTCCTGTCTGGCCAGTCTGGCTCTACCTGACTCCTAACTTGTGGTCAGGATGATTGAGGGTTTTTATCTGCTTCACCTCGTCCTTCTCGACGACGAAGTTTCTGCTGCGTTTTGTTGTCCGCGGGAAGGAAGCACCGATGACGCATGGCGGTCCTTTTTGAGAGGCTATACCTCCTCATATCAGAAGGTGCTGGGACGTGTCTATCGCGACCATGAACATGCTTATTGGGTTCCGGCAATCCCAGGTCCTCTCGTCGGCCTCACGTGGCTCGAGCATGAGGGATACGAGGAGTAGCGGAGGCGAGAACATAGCTGCTACTGAAGGAGAGGCTCAGCCATGCTCCAGTGGAAGGAGCCATGGTGGTTCTAGCCTTATCCATTCAGATCGTGAAAGCGAGAGCCGGAATGAACCGTTGCGTCACTCCGAGGTCGGCTCTCAGAGTGGGTTGCATTCACGTGCTGCATCGTCTTCCTATCCAAACAGTCAGATTGGACTGGCAGCAGCAGTGAGTGGAGGAGGAGGACGGAGGTCATTCGGTCGTGGTTGTGGCAGTCGTGCTCATGCTGCTACGAGAGGCTCTTCTGGAGAGCATCTGCTGTTCAGGGTAAGCTGTTCCTGATTTACTTGTGCTCATCTCCTGATCTCTTTTTTGTACGCATGAGTCTGATCTCTGTGATTGTTCATGTGCAGAAATGTGTCCAGCTGAATCAAGAGAGGGCCGCTATAGCTGCTGCGTTTGCTGCTGAAGAGTCAGCCAAGCAGGAAGATTTTACTTATTGTGCTGACGGAAACCCCAACTGTTTCATTATTAAGTCACTTCACGACATGGGTGTTGGCTTGAGCCCAACAGCTGAATCTGAGTTGGAAGGTGTTGATTCTGAAGACAGTGAAAGTGAGTTTTTGTAGTACTAGTACAGCGCTTTTACAAGACGGAGCATGATTTTTTCTTGCCTTCTTTCCTTTTGGTACATGTTTGACCATTCTGCTCATTGTTATGCAGGTGAACCTGACAAGTCTAGAGGGAGTATCCAACTTCAAGAAATCCAGGACTTTCCGAACGGTCATGACGTTCATGTTCCTGCTTCTCCGAGGCCACATAACACAGCTCTTGAGCCGTCAGATTTAGAACTTTGTGGTGTAGGTACACCTTCTTCCTCTCGCACTGCCGATTTGGCAAGTCTGGGTGGACTCTTATCTCAGAGCAACGGTTCTGTTTCACTGCCAGCTACGCCTCAAGTGTGGACACCCCTCTACCAGAATGGATCAGGGAGGTCGTCTACTGGCTCTCCAGGGTTATATGGTCCAACCACATCTGAGCTTTTGGCTGCAACATCCAGCCTGCGAGCTCGAAGAGCAGCTCTTTTGGCATTGCCATCTCTCCAAATTCCGAGCTTTCTTGCCTCCCCAGGTGTGTTCAGATCTTTCCCTTCCATGGATGAATTTGTCCTGTGCATTCAATGATGCTGAATGCATTTGTGGTCAATGGCTTTGTGCAGGGCCTTTTGAATCTTTCTCTGCCGTTGTGTGATTTTCTGGGAGCATGCTTCCAGGAAGTTCCATTCCGTCAGTGCAAGCTCCCCTGGGACAGCTCAGTTCCTTCAATGCTCAAACCAACCAGCCA